GAGACGTGGAGATAGAGGACGCCAGAAAAAGGAAACCAAACATGATAACAGACTACAACCACATGAAAGTATGTGAATGTGTATATAATTTTACACCAGTGCTACAATGTTTTCTGATATGTACTATACAGGCCTATATGGGGTAGAAAAAAAGCACATATACTCATGTCTCTCTCTCTCTCTGCTTTTACAGTGTGGTGTAGATGTGTTGGACCAAATGACGCGCATGTATTCAGTACGAGCAGCAACATGCAGGTGGCCAGTAGCTGTATTTTACAACATGCTGGACCTGGCAGTGGTGAATGCCTACATTCTGTACAAGGCGTGCACAAGGTGGAAAGGCAAAAGAAGATTGTTTCTGAGTCATCTAGCCAAGGAACTCTGTTGCCGATTCATGTAGCAAAAGGCAATAGAGACAGAGAGGAAGACTGCTGCAGCGTTTGCTGCTGCTCTGCCAGGACCTGTACAGACAACTCAATGCCAGGTACAAGAGAGCAGCAACAGAAATCTCAGCAGGTTTACCTGCGTAAAGTGTCACAAACCCACCTGCGCCAAATGCACGGGGGTCTGCAAACAGAGACTTTGAAACAGATAGACAGACAGACAGACAGACAGACTGTGTGGGAGAGTAACCACTGAGACAAAAGGCAGAATGAGTATGTTATCAACCATGGACCATGACTTCACTCAGCTTATGACATTTGTGTACAAACATACATTGGAGACTGATGTGTCAGCATGTTTTCATTCTATTAGTTTCATTCTATTTTCACAATTTTTATTATAAATAAAAAAGACTTGTGTTTCCATATATTTTGTGAATGTGTGTCTTTCATATTTGGAGGTCAGTCAGTGTGTGGGATATTTTGTATAGATAGAGCAGGCTTTTGTGAAGGTTTCCATGTCACACACATAGGTTTGGGCTGCCTTGGATTTGAGCCAGCAGTCTGAGTGAATAAATGCAAATGTGCCAGGGTTCATAGGTGATTAGTGCGTTTGCGCATCAAAAGCAGGAGGACAATGGAGCTGATGGCCTGCGCAGATGGCCTAGTAGTTCTATAGGTATTTTTCACCAGAAAATAAAAAGCTGAGTAGTTCTAGTCAAGGGCGTAACTTTGGCTGGAACATTGGGGGGGGGGGGATGGGTTGAGGTCTCCACCCATTACAGGAGAAAAATTATTATTGGGGGGGATGTATTAGCTGGTTTTGATTTATTGGGGGGGCTACAACCCCGCCATTTCCCCACCTGTAATTTACGGCCATGGTTCTAGTGTTAAAGCCCCCTTGGGTGTGATATGTTTGTTGGGTTTGAACCCCCCCCACCCCTAGAAATTCTCTTGTTATGCAGGCAGGTAGTAAAAAAATATGAATTGCAACCCTTCCATGATATTATCTTCAGCCTCCACCATTGGTGAAATCCACCAAACTTTGGTACCTGGTATATGGAGAATTTGTGGGGGTTTTCCCCTAAATATTAAAAAGGAGAAAAATGAAGTCAGTGTCAGGAAAGATGGGATGCTGGATTCCCCCCGTAATTTATATTCTGACTATAGGGCTAATAAATGATCTGGACCCCATCAATTCTCATTCAGTTTTCATAAGCAAACAATGTTTGGAAAGCCGCTGAATTTCTAGTCCACCGCGAGTGCAACAGCCATCTGCTCCCGTCTTCAAATCTACCACACTCCAATAAAGGAGGAGAGGTAATCCACAAATCCTCTCATTCATAACACCGTCAAACAGGTTTACAAGGAAGGAGGCATCGGTCGCAGGTGAATCAGCTCCATGCGATATGCACGGTGCAGAAAAGCATCGCTGGATGTTTGGAAGTGGGTGGAACTGGGCGGGCTGTGTGACTAAAGCGTCCGAAAGAGTCGCCTAGAGTCGGAGCAGCTGCTGCGGCAGAACGATGTAGGTCCACGAGGGAACGATTTTTGTTTCACCGGTGCGTTTCATGACAGATGGAGGGGTTTCACTTGACGGCAGAAATAGCAAAGGAAATAAGAGTGTCATAATACTCACTGATTACAAAACACTGTTTCTCTGGGGTATGTATCTTTTAGCTAATTAAATTATGGTTACGTTTAAGCGACTTTTGACTGACACTTCGTGGAAATTACTTCACGGTTATCTAGCTATCATTCTAATTAATGTTTTTATCCTGCTCTGTTTCAACTCCCCCTAGGGACTCAATGTGCACTTATTCCTGCTGAAGTTTTTAATTGTGGTTTATGCTGTACTTTGACATATGTCGAGCGTTTACGAAATGTTAATAGAATGTTTTGGAAGTGTCTGTATTTAAAAACGAGAGAAACGGCGTTTTATTAATTTTTACAGTTTCAAGTTCTTGAGTGACGAAATAAGTATATTGACGAGTGATCATTCAGCTGCTAGGATCAGAAGTCAGTAGTATCAATTTAAAATAATTTATCTTATTATATCTTTTTTCCTAGCACCTGGGTCCTCAGGACTAATATTAACCTATCAATGTATTGTAATATTATTAGCCTATATCACGTGGTTTTTGTTGTTTAATATCTATGCTATATAGTTTTGTTAATAATGTTATTATACATTAACCCAGTCACTGTGCATGTATGACTGAAAGCGTGAAATGGAGACTGAGAGAGAGAGAGAGCTGATGGCTCTTTATCACGGAGTCAGCTGTTTGACAAATGACCAAAGGTTACTTGATAACTTTTTTTTTATTAAAGTGGTTCATTCAGACTATTTGACAGACATTATAATTACTGTTCCTTTAACGCAGGGAACCAATCGATCTACTGTCGCCAATAAAAAGAATTACGCAGGCCTAATAATCTTAAAATGCATTAATCTGTGAAACGGATCACCAGCAGCCTACAGCTTTCCAAATACGGCGTCACACATGTTCTCTGCCTTTTGGACAGATATTTCCCCCCAAAGTGCAGCACTTACTCCTAATTGTTCAGAAAAACGTTTTTTTTTTTTTTTTTTAGTTCTCCCTTAGTCCAGACTTAGCATTATGTGATGGGGTGCAGGACGGTGAGGTGGATGCTGTCCTTTGCACAGGTGTTACAGACCGGCATCAGGACTATGTGCAGCTTGGACGAGATAGTGTTTGTATTGGAACCACTGGTATCAGTTCACTGTATTTTCGCTAAATAAGCAACAAGTATGATGATTGATAGAAAAAAAATCAGAACAACCGCTCCCCAAACATGAAGATACCGGTGGTTTATATACGCCTAAGCGCAAACTACTCTAAACAACTTAAAAAGGCGAGTATAAGAATCTGACCATTCAACTAATCCATTATATTTAAAATGGTAACAGGAGGCCTATGTGCAAGGGCGTCAATTTGGCTGGAACATTGGGGGGGTCGAGGTCTCCACCCATTACAGGGGAAACATGATTATTGGGGGGGTTATATTGGCTGGATCTGATTATTGGGGAGGTCATGACCCCCCTAACCCCCCTGGAAATAACGCCCATGCCTATGTGAAAATTCTCGCAAATAGTACTTGGTTTACATACATACATATTTCCAAGCTAACACGTTTTATTTAAATCTCATTAAAAGGACGTTTTTAGCGGCGTTTCCGTTTAGGCCCGAACGTCTAGAATTATTTTGGAGATGCAAACAAGCGATTGTCCGTTGTGGGAGAGAGCTTTAAAATTTTAGGTTTTAATCCAGTAGCTTTTTATTTTGCATTTACTTAATTTATCTCTGAAATATTAACGGAAATATATTCTGGAGGCACAATGACCCAGAGTGGGCTGAGAGAAGAAGGAAGATGTTTTGCAGCAGGAGTGCACGGGTCCAGGAAGAGTATAAAAGACAGACAATGATAGTTGCTAGGGCAACAATCCAAGGTTGGTGACAGGAGAGACACAATGTTTTAGACAAATGGAGGGTCAAGGCGCCATACCAGGGACAAAGTAATTGATTACTAACTGATTAACAAAAAACAATCACATGTTAAGGAAACATTGCATGCCTAAGCATTCGAGGATTGATGATTTGGAAAAAGGACAACGCATAAGTAACCATTCAAAATATAATATGTTCTGAGGACAGTATTAGATTGCATTCACATTAATCAATGAAATGTACCCGATTCACTTTCCAAAAAAGCTTTAAGAACTCGCGTATGGGGAGTGATGATATTCTCAGGGAGATGGATTCTCTCTTTGATCAAAGAAATAAAACAGTGAAAAGGGATGGTTTCTCTCCTGTCAAAGGTTCTTTGAGTTTGGGTGTTTTAACTTCTGCACCATTTTAAGAGGAAAATAATGAATATCAGGTAAATGAAATGAGTGCATATCTGAAGTGGTAGTAGTCCCCTTAAGATGTGTCTTCATAATATTTACAAAGCTCTACATACCTTTGATAAAAAAGATATCTTGGGTTCGTAATCTCCAGCTCCACTCTGAGTTCGGTGTGAAAACTTGCCTTGTAGCAGAATTTTTTTTTCTTTCTCTCAATCTCACTATTTAAGTTTGAATTTTGGTTCACAACTGCTGTTACTGAGGACTGCCAATCTCTTAATTCCTCTATTGAGGTGAACATTATGTAATAAAGTACTAAGTGTTTAGGCAGGTGCCAGTTAACTTTCAAAGCATCTTCTAAAGATCTGACTTAAAACGGCCTTAGCGTGATGTTTTATACGACAGGCATGATTATAAAAATAAATGCGAATGTCTGTCTGACATAGCTTTCGGGTGACAGCACTTAGTCATCAGAGATCCTGCTTAAGTCATGTGAAACAAGAAAGCAGGTCTGGTGTGCAGAGGCACCCCATGAAAGCACAGACACCTGGAAGGAAGGAACTGAGCTGCAAGCCGCTTCTAAACTCTCAGATAGTGGGGTAAATTGGGGGTAATTATAAACTGCCGAAACCACAAAAGAACCGCCCAGGGTGAAAAGAACAGATGCTGTATCTGCGGCATGGTGCAGGAACAGGGATTGGGGGGAGGGGGGCACGGCGAGTCTTGGGTGATGATGGATGTGTTTACAGTGACTGGAGAATTGGTGAGGTGCCAACAGAGACAGCACTCCGGCTCGGCGATGGATGGCGTCCTGGAGACGGTGGTAACGCTGGGCCTCTGTAAGGTGGGCTGCGGCCTCCTCTCCCTGACCGCACTCCGGTCCCACCGCAGTGCCGTCGGACTCTGCTGCAGCTGCCTGCTGCTGTTCACCGACCTTGGAGTCACAGGTGAGCGGGATGCCGCCGCTATCTCGACGCCGCGCTTTGGGCTGTGTCCTGCCGGCAGCTCACCTCCTTCCCCCCCCATCAGCGTTCCTCGCCCTACTGTGGTCGGCCGGAGGCTCCAGACTGCCTCCAATGTCCGCTCCTAGCGACGTCATCGCCCTCCGCTTCCTGCTCTTCCTGGGGCAGGCCTATGGCACAGCCCTGCTCTTGACAGCCCCGCTCGTCGCCGTGGAGATGGTCTATAGGATGAGGCGGCCTCGAGGGCGAGGCTGTGTCGGGCACCGGTGGATTTCGGTGGCGCTGGCTGGTGGGGACACAGAGGACGGCAGCCAGGAAGCAGCTCTGGCGCCCGGCGGCGCCTTCCTCAGCTGCTTGGTCATCTGGGTCGTCTGCGGACTCCGCGGACGCCTCGGTGTCAGGCTGGATGAGCGGCATGCCAAGGCCTGCATGCTGAGGACGGGCTCCCTGTCCACCTGCCTCCCTGACATGCCCGCCATCACCCTGGCTGCCGTGGGGGACCCTGTACTGGCACTGTTCGGGCCAGCTCTCCTCCTGGCCTTGGCGCTGAGTATGAGTCTGCCCAGGAGTGAGCCGACCCAAAGCGGCACAGTACCAGTTTACCCTGGGCACCTCCCACCCGTATCCTCGTGTGCCCCGGATGCTGCGGGCTCTACTTCTAAAACCAGCGAGTCTCCTGTCCCTCAGCATGTCACCGTGATGCTGGATCCCTCTAGCCGCTCCCTGCAAATGGCCATCCCCCTGGGACACATGGCACAGGGGGCCCACATGTGGGGGCGGGTCACTTCCTGCCTTCGAGGAAGGGTGCTGACCGGACTCGCATGCAGCATTGCCCTCTACCTCTTCCCCCCCTCGATAAGTGTCAATGTGGTACTGATCAGGTACCTGGAGTCTCTGGCTGAGTGGACACTGACCCCCCTCCTGTCTTTGTCTAAGGAGGACGTGACTGTCAACCAGCCTCTGCTCACCTTTCGGAGACACGGATCCCCCAGCCTCGCTGTTCACCTTATGGAGATGGCGAGAGAGGCATGAGATCTATGGGCGTGAAACGCCCAGCTTCACGCCAGGCGACCAAGCTGCAACAGGCCTTTAGATTGCCTGCACCGCAGAGAGCAGAAGCGTGTCAGTCCCTGTCTTCTGAAGAGCATGAAGAGAATCCCTCAGCCTCAAAGCGAATCACAGGCTAAAACTCGCCGTCACTCTTGCTCAAAAACTGACGGGGGCTTTTGGGGTCCGTGTCTGGTGAAACTGTACATAAATCTCTCAGGGAAAAAATATATAAAGGAGCTGACAGGCAGAGCAGGGGGATAGAGACAGAAACAGCGGTGGAAACGGCGGCCTTTAACAGATGGGCATCTCTTTTATGTGGATGTTATGGTTACGCAGAGCCAATCACATTCTTCTGGATTTGTTCGGTTTGTATTGACAGGTTTGTTCCTGGTATTTTCATTGGCCCTCGGTACGGTATAATCCTCACGTATACTGATAGTACCTCCTGCCAAAATTCCTCCTGGCAAACATGCCGGTGAAATTCCTCACTTTCATTAACCTGTGACGACAAACCGGAAACCTTAGCGATGAAGTCCAACAGCAGAGGTCTCTCGGCAACCACTCTTGATTGAAGGGAGGAGGGGGGGGTACTGGGAAAACGGAGCTCTAAGCTGAGGAAAAAAGTTTGCTTGGGGTGGGGGTGCTGGTGTATTTTTGTAGCTGCCTTTCTTGCTCTGAGGGGCGTGATTCTATGGGGGAAACATTCAGCAAATCTGTGCTCAGACTTGCGTAGGGCAGATGTTCCTATAGCAGAGAGCCTGGAGCTAATGGGGGGGGGGGTACCACCCAGGCCCACACATGTTCACACTGCCCCCCAACGTTGCAGCTAGTTGCTGCCCACCTTGTTTTAGTGTGTATGACGGTTTGAGAATAAATGGCACTGTGTCAAACTCTGGCCAAGTTTCACTGACTGCTGAACATCTCTGCGCAAATTGTTTTATATTTACTCAAGACGTTTATCATTTGAACTCATGAAATTAAAATGAATGAGGTTGCAAGAACGTGTTGGGTCTCGAAAGGTACTGAGCTAAACTGAGATTTAGACCAAGTTTTTAGCAAAACAAAAATTAAGTCGAAAATCTTGCTGCTTAGTGCATCTCAAGGACGATTTAAAAGCATCTTAGCAGTGTGAAACAATCTGAAATATGGACAGTGATTAATGACAAGTTAAGCCAAAATGACATTTTAGTTAAGCTAAAATGTGAGACTGCCATAAAGCTGACAGGCGGTAGAGAGGCAGCGATACCTGGCTTTGCAGTGACGCATGACAACCCATCTGTGAGCATAGACCACTCTGTGCTGTAGCATCCAGGGTCTACTTCTGTTGCACACTGTACACCAAGGGTGTGGAACCTGATCCATGGAGAGCCGGTGCGGGTTTTTGGGATGACCTCTCGATCGGCCTATAACAGCGGTTCCCCAGGACTGGAGATGAGAACCACTGCTTTATTATTGGCTGATCAAGAGATCATCTCAAAAACCCGCACCCACCCATCCCCTGCTGTACACAAAGTCAGTCTAAATACAGAATATCACCTTTGCCACCTGCACCAAATTCTCCAAAAACCAGCTGTTTCAGCCATAGGAGGAAATATCTGATTTGCTTTGAACTGATGAACCTGGACGACCTGGCTAGGATTTTAGGTGTGTCCTGCTATCCAGCCCACCTGCCTGGAAGGTGCAGCTGTTGGCACCTTCTTTATGGTCTGCCTCGGGAGCCCTAATCCCTCCAAAAGGCCAAGAGTCACCGAAACATTCTTGCATGCAACGAAGACGACAGGAAGATCCTACCGTTTGGGCAGCACTACCCCGCTCTGCAGGATTAGTCAGGAATGCAACGCACGGGGAGAATTTTTTGTATTCAACGAGGTGTATTGCCTGCCTCTGAAACAAAAGCTGTTATTTTGTGCACATCACCAGTATGGAATAATCTTTGTGTGTGTGTGTGTAGGGAGGGGGCGATGGACTAAGGTGTAGAATAGAAAAAATGCGGAAAAAAGTTTTTAGTGTCTTGGGCCTCAACATAGTCTTGAGACCAGACAGGCAGGTTCTCACATCAGGATGATGATAAAATTATTGCTTTCTAGTGTCCCTGATAGTACACCACCTTCATAGCCTAGTGGATGGCAAGGGGTTAATAGCCTGAGGGCTGGGCGTTTGTGAGCAGAGAGAAAAGCATCTGCAGAAAATGTGTTAAAATAGCGATAAAAGTATATGAATGGAGAGAAGAAAAAACAGTGGAGACAATTCAAAAGCAAACGGAGTTTGTGCTAAACATGCAAGACAGGGATGATGCAAGAGCCATCCAACACAGGCTGGGCGTGAACCCGCTGTTAATAATGCAAAGTCAGTCAGTGCTGCAAGTTTGGTGCAAGCAAACTGAGGCGGATTTTGCAACACGCCGCGGGGCCACAGTCCCCTTCATATCTAACAGGGCCGTCTATAATTTGCCAGTCGCGGCTGCCTAAATGCGGCCCGCGGGAGTCGTATACGACACGCACACAGAAACGAACATCAGAAAGTGGGTCTCTTTTAAAACACTCATTTTCCACATACGTGACACAGTGAGTGTGTTCATTTTCCGCGTGAGACACAGCAACACGCAAGCGCTGTGACCTGCAGGGCACAAAGAACACAAGCTTGGCAAGGAGCGTGCCCCACCCTAGGAAGGCGGTGTAAGAAGGAAACAATATGTTAATCAAATTTTGTGGGAAGCCCAAGCGGGCCTCCCCCCCAACGACTTAATGGGACATGCTCCGAGAGGGGCAGCTGGTCTAGAATTTTGCCTCACTTTCTTAGGAGGGGGGAGTCAACAGGCTGTACACAGAGATGCATGGTAACAAAACAAGATAATTAGTGGAGTGTAGAGATTGAGGCTGGGGGGGGGTTGGGGGCCACAAATGCCTACTTTATCACAGGTCCACATTGGATCCCACTCTATGAAGTGGAGGAGAGACTACTTCCAGGATCTGAGAATCAGCATTGAAACGTGGAAGACAAGAAGAGTGTGGAAGTGTTGGGCTTTTCCCCTACATCAACGGGGAGTGCAAGTGCATCACCACAGTAAGAGCCTGCAGAACGGTCCAGAGCAGCCTCTCTAAAGTCATACTGCCTGCTTTGTGGCTGTGGGTGTTAGACACTCATCCAAGGCAAGCGTCATCATGTGTGAACACAACGCATCGCCTACGAGGTAGGGATCACACGAACAGCGCTGGATTTTCACCATTCTTTATTGTACATTGACACAAACCTCATTGACCTTTAGCTGCAATAGCACATCAAAGTATGTTTAAAGAACGAAAAATGTCCATGGAGGTTGCCCTCGAGTAACCACATCCCCACCCTCCACCATTCCAGGGCTAAATGACTGATTAGCAGCTTTGCTTCAAAGTGATTGAGGGAGAAGCACATCAGGCGATGTAGGAACACGACATCCACCGGACCAGGGCAGCATCCTGACCTTCACACCAACAAAACTGAACTCTCAGAAAATCATCATCATACTAATAATAATGAAAACAACAAGACCTGGAAATGAAACGGGGTTTACCCATTTGGCCATCTTTTGAGTAAGCCATGACCACTCATGCTCAGCTCAGAACCTTGGTCAGACGAACCAGGTCTTCTGGGGCCTGCTGCTTCGAGTCGGAGATGATTCGAGTTACCTCAGGAACCCCGGCAAATTTCTTAGCACCTCCTCTGAGACCCACATTTTCTCGGCCCAGAAATGCCATGTCTCTACCATGGCTTCTCTGAATAATCATTACTTAGGAATAATAAAACATGGAAACTCAAAAAGGAAAGAATCTTGCGGACCTGGACCATCCTTCTTAAGGTCTAGGTCCTAGGAACGATTAGAAGAGCACTAGACATCGTAAAATGGACATAGAAACAGATCCTTAGACTATTGATAATGTGTGGGGAAAAATTCTGAGAAATAATTGAAATGTCTACGCTTCTTTGGTTGGCAATATTATTTGGAGAGCAATAGACTCAATGCACTTAGGGAAGACGCATAGGGATAGACTGCCTAACTGTACATTTTTTTTGCAATATTTTCCCCCAAATTCATCCGTGGTGTAATCTCCACAAATGCCATTACATAATTGTTCCTGTAGCTACTGAAGCTCAACGCTGAGCTCTTTTCACTCGGAAAACACTTGGAGGCCCTCCACGTTTGTTTATAATGCATCTCGGGCACGAACAAGCTTCTGCGATCGCATCAGACTACGTCAGCCAAAGCGAATCTGGCGGATGGTACGGACAGCGTGCGTTACAGGGTATGTATCCTCAATAGGCAGAAACCCAACTTAGGTGTTAAAAAAAAAAACCCACTATGCTACATTGATATATTTCCCCCCATCTATCCATTTTCTGTAACTGCTTGTCCTACTCAGGAGTGTGGGGGGATCCAGAGCCTAACCCAGAGACTAAGGGCGCAAGGCAGGGAACAACCCAGGATGGGGTGCCAATCCATCACAGGGCACACACACACGCCAGTCAACCACACATGCACACCTTCGGGCAATTTGGGAACTCCAATTAACCTCTGCATGTTATTGCACTTTCGGGGGGAATCCAGAGTACCTATTGGAAACCCCATGACAACATGGGGTGGAGAACTCCACACACGGAGCCATGACGGAGAGTTGAACCCGGGTCCCAGATGTGTGAGCCAACAGTGCCAATCACTTCATTACCACCCTGCCCTATTTGAACAGGTACTCAGTAAAGATAAGTCAAATGATCGACACTGACCACAGGTCAGGTGAACATGAATTACATGCCTACGGATTATGGAAGCAACCGATCGGGGTTTTGATCAAAGGCAGCTGATCGGGACAGAGGACAACCAGAACCTGTAGGAGAATCACACCCGTTTTGTAAGAGGATGGTGACAGGACAGATGGAAAGCTTTGTTGTTCATTTCCGGTCCTGAAGTTACAGCAGCAGACGGGAATGGGAAGGGGCTTATCACAGTCGGCTTTTAGAAGCACTACAGATACCGTGTTGACACTCTGGCACCGCCGTGAACACAGCCGGGGGGGGGGGGGGGGGGGTAAATTATCACAGAGAATAAGGTGTGAAGCATCTGGCAGTCGAGATAAGGGTGTCAGTGCTCCCCCCTGGCAGATGGTGAAAGTGAGGGAGTAAGAGGCCCATCTGGGGGTAGCGGGAATCCCAGAATCCAGCCCCCAATCCCAAGCGATCTATGTCCTCTTACGCCTCCCGTTACATTAAGATTTTAAGTAAGACTGACTTTCGACAATCACACAATTTCACTGATTTGATCAAGGTGTACTTGGAATGGTCACGCATTGCACAGCAAGTTTCTCTGCAGAAACACAAACCAGACAGAACTGATCAAACATACTTTATAAATGTTTCATTTAAGCGTCGCCATTTCTTTAAATATGAAGCTCCGTGTCTGAACGGGGGCATTTTTCCAGGCACCAGAGCCACAAGTGCCCTTAGGTTGAGCTTAACCCTGCGCACTGTGATTTCCCTGATGACCCATCCTGCCTGGACCCCCAGTTTCACGGATTCTAGAGGCGAACTGTGTTGATCCGTAGGGGCTGTACGTTCTTGCCATTGGCATGGCTCTGACCCGGGCTGAAGTAGGGGTAGAGCTTAGCGTGGAACTTCTCCCTGTAAGTGTAGAGCCAGGACATGTCGTCGGCATTGTAGAACACCAAGAGGCCTTTGGGGTAGTCCAGGTAGACGCCCACCTTCTCCAGCTTGCTCTTCACATTGAGGCGGGTCCAGGGCTCGGTGCAGGCGCTGTACTGGTTGCCATCATGCATAACGATGCAGTAGAAGCCACGGCTAGGCTGGATCTGGATGTTGCCCTTGCGGCTCACCATCTCACTCGCCACCCCGATCATCCACTGGGTCTTCTCGGACACCATCACCTCCCAGTAGTGCACGCCGGAGCCGAAGCCCTCCGCCCCCAGGACGGACACTTCCACGTCGAAGCGGCGAGGCGAGTCCTGTAGTGGCTGCGGATGCAAATTCCCATACGCCACGATGGTGCAGTCGTCTGACAGGATGAGGCGCTGGTGAGCTGTCACGGGGTCCAGAGTCAGGGCGGCTGGTACTGCGGGACGACAACACAGCGTGAGAAGAGACCAGGGCAGCGGTGGCAACACAGGACACCACTGATCAACATCATCCTGTCCGTTACCACTGCAGGCAAACAGTCACAGGCCACATTCAAGTGGGCAGAGATAAACCTGAAGCAGGTCTATAAACCATGAACAGTAATGGATTTTTTTAATGGATTGAGGCCCCTCTCGTTTCATTATCTGAAACTAGATTAGAAGACATTACTCCAAAACGCTATGTAGAGCACCCCCTTGAGGCAAAGATGTGGATACCTCTCAGGCATTCACAGACAAAGGTGAGGAGCAAGCTTTCTCAGCACGAGAACCTTAGATATCTCTTCTACTCTGTGTCCCTTAAAGTCACCATGATAAACTGTTCAGTTTATTTACAACAAGCATAGACACGGTTAATCCTCTGCTCGTTCGTTACGCAATGAGATCACCACCCTCCTGCGTTTGGCCAAAGAAATAAAAACAAATAAAATCATGACTCCATGCACAATTTTGCATCTAAATCAAGTTTGTAGGCCATTCCTTTGCTCTCCATATTTATGGAGCAGTGCAGTAGGTATGGAGGCCTGCCCGTTGGTGTCCTCCTGAAGAATTACATAACATCCTGCCTACATCCTGAAAAACAAGTCTGAGTCTAAACAAGCAGGTCATACAGGATGATGGACAACTCATAGCAAAAAATTCCCTGCACCATAACAACCAGATTATTGGTAAGGGAGTCAACTCCTCCTCTCCTGGGGGGGGGGGGGGTCCTGACAGAGTGCCCTGCTGTAACGTGATACATCTGCTGTCACCTGCCTTGTGGCACCCGAGAGAGCCCTCACATGCCCGGCTTGCAGCCCATACCACGCTTTATGGGACCAGCAGGGTCTCCATGGCAACCAAATTCAAAGGGGTGGAGAGATGTTGCACAGGGAATGGGAAGGACAATGTGCATGTTGGCAGCTGTCCACTAGGACCCTCTTGGGAGAGGGGAAGGCGAGCAAATGGGTACAGTGAGATGGACTGACCACTTGGCCAATTGCTCGGCAAGCATGCACTGCGGCAAGCCAATCAGCTGCCAGGAAGTGTGCTTGTGAGGGGGGCTCTGCAGTCGCATTTGCTTGGCTGCCTGCCCCACCAATGAGTAAACTGGCTTGCTGACATCTAGTAAGACAAGAAGTTAGAAAACAGATGGATGAAATATAAAAATATTTAGAAGCAATCCAATGCTTTTGTAACCTGAGCAAAAGCTCAAGGAGCAGAAACCCCTGCAATGCAATCTCAAACAAGAGTGGCAAGCAAGCCTGGAAGCCCCCCCTAAGACAGGGGAATCACAGGATGACAGGCGGGGGGGACATAAGGCAAGCGAGAAGGCGTGATACCACAAGACATCAATGTCACTCTGACCTCCAACACAAACAAGAGCCAGTGATGGGCTGAACCAAGTCAGACAGAAGCGGGGGGGGTGGAGATAATGAGGAGACCTGCTATGCAGTGCCAGTTCTCGAATGGGGCCGATGGGTACATCCCCCCCACGACACTATTTATAAACCCACACAGTCACCACTGCCGGCGGCGCCCACGTCACACAGCTCCACGGGCCGGAACGTAGGAACAGATGAACCAAACACAGCTGGAGTGGCTGTAAGATGGCGTGACCTACGCAGCTGGTCCCGGTGACGCGGCATCGTCCCGTAACGGCAGAAGAGACGCCTCCAGTCGAGATGCATTAGGATGCTCGGGAAGCTCCAAATTGATTAAAAAGGGGAATGATCCCCGAGGGGAGAAGTTATCCTGAATGATGCTACTGTGTCGTGCTGTGAGAGGCTCCTTGTCAGATACATCACACATTGTTCCCTCATTGATAGTCCCTCCACATCAGCGAATGGCTCATGCCATCGGCTCCCGGTCAAGCCAACCCAGCAGCGAAGCTGCCGTGACGGCCGTCATTTAAGGAGGACAGATCACACAGCTTTCTTTGCTTTTTAAAAGTTAATTAATAAATAAGCATTTTGTGGAGTTGTAGAGTCTGAAGGAGAACCACAGGTTACCTGGTGAGATATCCTGGAACAGGGACTTCCATATTGTGTACTGCAGGGGTCCCATGTACTTCGACGTGGGGAAGTCTTCGTACGTCAAGTTGGTTTCGTGAATCTTTCCTTTTATTCTACAGAAATGAAGTGGCCCGTGAGCCGGTGAGAGTGAGAGGGCGCCACACAGAAGGCAACTGTTGTATGCACAGTGAATGGGTCCAATCAACTATTAACAACTTAAAAACACAATACTCGGACACACACCCCTCCACCGCTGGCCCCCACAGAACCCCCCCCTCCAGCCCACCTCTCGGAGGTGACTGCCACACCCTCCAGGAACTCATGCCGGCCCGTCTCACTGAGCCGCTCCTGCAGGATCTGAATGCCCTCCTTGACATCGCGGAGCTGCTGGCTGTAGCGTTGGATCTTGCGCTCGATGTCGGCGAGGGTGCGGGCCGTGTCCGCCTCCAGCTCCTCCAGCATGCTCTTCTGCCGCTCGCGCAGGAACCGGTGCAGCCGCTCGAAGGCCTCACCTACCGTTGCTCGCAGGCTCTTAGCTGACGACTGTAGGGGAGAGAGAGGGGGCCTGAGCGCTTGGTAACGTCAACAAGTGGCACGACGGCAGCCCTCATTTTTGCCGTGTTTCCATGGCTCCCTTGAAGGTTAATGCTTGCGACTAGCATCTTATTGTCATAACAAAGCATTAATTAGCCTCTCCCTGTAAATGGGCTGGACAATCACACATACAAGGGGGGGGGGGTCTGTGGCCCCCACTGTCTATTTGTGGCAGAGGTTAAGCACGGACAGAACTGGCCGAAGGGGCCAGCAGCCACAAAATGTCCTCGATTCACGTAATTAGAGACATATTCTGAAGGACAGCAGAACAGCTGCATGGAGGAACAAGGAAAGAGGCAAGGTCAAGGTATGAGAGAAATGGTGGCTGGAGTCCCTGAGGGGCACGGGACAGGACCAGCCGCCCATCCCGGAATCACTGAGGGGCACTGGACAGGACCAGCCGCCCATCCCAGTATCCCGGAGAGGCACGGGACAGGACCAGCCGCCCATCCCAGAATCCCGGAGAGGCACGGGACAGGACCAGCCGCCCATCCCAGTATCCCGGAGAGGCACGAGACAGGACCAGCCGCCCAACCCAGAATCCCTGGAAAACACTGATGCAGGCACAGAGTGATTTGGTGGGTGAGGGTATTGATCAGCATCTGGGGTCAGCTAGGGACTGGCATCCACGGTGGGAGAGGGGCACAAAAAAGAAAAAAAAAAAAAAAAAAAAAAAAAGGAGGACAGATTCCAAAAGAGGGTGCNAAAAAAAAAAAAAAAAAAAAAAGGAGGACAGATTCCAAAAGAGGGTGCAGGAAGGGGGGGGGGCTGATTAAGCAGAGGATGCGAGAGAGATGAATCCCTGTTCAAACCCGTAACGGCAGCAGGTGGGGAATCTACAAGGAGGTCAGGCAGTTTCCATTTGCATGTCTATTTTTGTGGGGGACTTCCCAAAGAGTCACTGTCACAGCAGCCCTCTCAAGCGAGGCCTTAGAAACAACAGCAAAAAAATCACCTTTCAGTAGTTAAAATTTCTTCCCCTAAAAACAGAAACATCTGCACAAACACACACACCTGAACTACTTATGCGCATTCATGGTGCATGAACTCCCCTTACTGTATAGCCCACAATTATTTCTGAACCATTACTACTGAATTTCACACAATACTTTCTCTGGCATTTTTTTGCACTGTTACCATTTATTATTTATTGTTAGTCTATTCATAGCTAAAAGTATTTTTACTGCCTAAACGTGTGAGTGTGTTGTGGTACTGTAAACCTGCAATTTCCTTCAAGGTCAATAAAATGTCTCTTGATATTTAACCATCTATCACCGCTGAGAGCTGTGCGCCACGCAATAGGTACATGGGTGTGGTCACACGGGGTTAGCGAAAGCTGACAGACTTACAATCAGTAAGGAATGACTTTCCACTTTCAAAACATGCAGGATGCAAGTCTCACTGCAGCTCTGACCTTTAGGAGTACGAACAAGTTAAGAAGCTGGCTTTCAGCAGTAAGTTCCTGATTTATTAGAAATGAATGTACCTGCAGTTCAGAAATTCAGAGATGGTACCAAACTGCACATACTGACGCACTGGGCCGTGCTGAACTCCAGATCCTTCCTGTACGTAGGAGTGGTTTGCTGCATTAAGTGCCATCCCAAATGTAATTTGAGTCCATTCTAAGACATTAGGCAGAGGCTATTTGAGGGATACGGGACCTGAAAAAAAAGCCTCCAGTAAAATGTACAAAATACAGCAGATGAAATACACCCACATTCAACTACCTTCCATTCATAAATATGGATGCTTTTTAATTAAACAGAATCGAGGATTTGGAATGTATCCTGGCAAATGTAGGAAGCTTTCAGTCCGACACCCTGGAAACCATGGTAGCCCAACACTGTAATGGTAACGATAACATCAACCCCCGCCTGGCCGTGAAGCAAACCTCTATTTTCGGGATTAAAGCTGAACACCATATCCGTCTTGAAGGTGAATTATAGCCTGCCAAACACAGAGCTAGTTCGTATAACAGATTGCAGATCCATGCTGATGTATTGTTAAAAATTCTAGAGGGACAACATGCAGAAAGAGTTACATGGAGAAGGGACAAACAGGAGCTTAAATGCCTCATTAAAACCTGAAGCGAGCCAGGTGTAAAAAGGAGAAATAAACAGCTCAGCAGCCAATAGAAACCAACGTAGCACATCAACAGGTAACAGAAACTGACTGGTGGCCAATAGGAACTGACAAGGCACGCCGGTGGCCAATGTGGTGTGCCATCAGTCAAGAGATTGACAAATAGTGCAAAGTGCAGACATTTAAGCTTTTAAAGCCTGAGCTTTTCAGTCTGCAGGAAGGGAGAGGATTCACTTTAGACTGCTTATTAAAACAAGGTGTCAAGGTTAAAGAGCTGTTCAATAATCCTATTTTCAAGAGGGCATGGTAGGCGTTGTGTGGGTGAGTTCATCCTGCAGCAGAGGGGGGCAGCCTCAGAGACCCGTTTCCATGGATCCCGCCATTCAAGGAAATCGGAACAGACCCCTGTCTCCACGCTGAAATTTTAAGACATGAAAAGCATGTCTTTGAAGGAGCAGCTGGTCTTACCTTGGTCTCGGTGAGCTGTCTCTGTAGCAGCTGCAGCGCCTCTGTGTGGCCCTTCTCGCTGTCTTGCAGGCTGGCCAGCTGTTCCTTCATCTCCCTCTGGAAGAAACCAGAGAGGACCCCAGGAGTTAGAGCGTCACCTCCAGTGAACGAGGCAGACCGTAACGTGACGGCATGGGGGGTGAAGTAGGTTTCTCCATGGACATCACGCCGTTTCCAGTTTCACGTGGATGGCGCGTGTCGCTCTCTGCCAAACTGGTAATTGGGGCGCGGCTGCATGAGGGCACTGCAAGCCGCCGGAAAGAACTGGGACATCGCTTGAGGCCCGGCAGGCAGAATGAGGACGGCCGCAGCGCGTTGAGGAGGTCCACTTAAGTTGGAAAGCTGTCCATTTTTATTTCACCTCAGTTCACAATAATAACATGAAATACATTCTGGAAAAAGCTCAAACTATGTAATTTAATCAGCTAAGAGCAGCAGAGACTACAGGCTGAAGGTCACCGACAAACACGCCCATCTCACTTTCTAGAGCAGTGACCCGCTTTTCAAGGACAGCGTGAAACACAAACCAACCTGTACCCTTCAGCGGCCACGGCTCAGAAGCGGTCACAGGCAGCAAACTTCAAGTGGGCAGGGGGCAGCCGCGCAGGCACCTGCAGGGCCAGCTGCACCCCCAGCACGACCCTGACCGAGAGCCCCGATGGCAGGGCTGGCAAGGCGGCACACACGCAGTTTAAGACCTGGGTTGTGTGTTCAAACACATGACTTTAAGGGTAGCTCAGTGTTTGGAGAGCTGCATCTGTGCAGGTCACTCATGCTGTGACAGGAACGAGGACGTTATGCCAGGTGTGTGCCCGATGGCACTCCCTCCAGTGTGCAGATGTGTGTCTGTTAAAGGATGCCGCTTTCTGCAGACACACACATCAGACCTACCAGGTGTCACGTCCCTGAAGTACATTCAAGGACACTGTTGAAAGGACCTAAACCTCAAAACTTCTCAACTTCTCATCGGCATGTGAGAAATGCAGAATAAACAATCAATTCTGTTGCAGGAAATGGTCAGTGAACCCTTACTGCGCGCCCGAGCCTGGCTTTCATTCAAGCCAAAGATCCCCTTGGATAAGAATTAGCCAGCATCGCTTTCTGCAAAGAGAAGCTGTGTTGGTATATTTCCTTAACATTAAAGCTCTGCTGTGTCTTCCACGGAGCTGCAGAAAATTTCTGCTGTTCCATACTCATCCATGACATGAAGCACAAAGTGGGTGACGGATTTGCTGAAGGGGGCTGTGCGTACCCCCTGAAAGTGCTGTGGTACTGGGGGATGGGAAGGGGGGATATCAATGGCACAGCACAGATAACACCATCATCATCAATCTAGGAGCATCAACCACATTAGGCGGTTGCAAATGGATCTTCGCTCCGTCTGCATCCGTGAATCCAGGCCCTGAAGGAACGTTTCCAAGGACGATTCCAGCACAACCTTCATCACACCAGGCCATAATTCTGCATTACGGCGGGAGAGGGCAGTTTCTGTGTCCTGCGCTGAGCCGAGTGCCGAACAGCTGTCATCTTTAATGGTCGGGCATAAATTAGAACGAGGCAGCCGTCACAGCCAGCTCATTCACAGGCTACACAGGAAGAGTACCAGCACCCACCGTGCGAGGGGCGAAGGCACAGACGCCCACCGTGCGAGGGGCGAAGGCACAGACGCCCACCGTGCGAGGGGCGAAGGCACAGACGCCCACCGTGCGAGGGGCGAAGGCACAGACGCCCAGTACTGGAAATGCGGCATGCAATACAATAATTCATAAGTCACTTGTTGACAACAAATGCAACGAGAATCCAACTCTCATTGTTCAGTAACTTGACATTTCTTATTTGCCTTTTTCCTATCCAGTACAGTAGGGGGGGGACACACAGCAGGGAGGACACACAAGCACACACACAGCATGAGTCTTGTTCTCAGGACACTCAAACTGTCTAGCTGGAATCAGACGTTTCCTTGTTCATTGAACGATGTTTCAACCCCCCCGTTCCCCATTTTCTCCTAGACTGGAATGGAATTATTTGGCCATTATAGGCCTTCCCCTCACCACCCATGCCAACTTTTGAGGGGTGAAGACAAGCACAGGCACCCTCAGACATGTTCTGTCATGCATCCATTTTTCGCTGCAAGGGCTGCGGGCTTCACCCGATGATATATTAACAGGCTTGGAAGGCAGAAGAATTTGTTCAATTCTGCCGCAGCCCTGAGGGCACCCAGCTAACTGCAGCTACTGCGGAAACTCAGAGGGAAGCTGAGCGGTCCTCTCCATAGACTGCCAACGCTGCATCGAACCCTGGACAAAGCAACTCATGTGGGGAGCCGGGTTATGCTCACAATGCCCATCGCACAGCCCCACTGAAGAGAATGACATCAGATCACGACAGGTAGGTCTTCACAATGACCGCCAAGGAGGTCTAGGACACAGAGGAGTAGAATCAACCCACCTAGCATGATGTTTGATTCAAGACCACTTACAAAGTGAACAGGACAATGGTGGTTTACCAACATCTGTCAGCAGACACTACCCTGCCATTTACTAGAAACATCAGCCCAACAAATCTGGGTAGCTTTTCCCTTTTCCTGACAGACGGGAAATATGTTTAGCTGGGTTCCTGTATGCCAAAAATAACTGGAAAAGCAACAGTCGGTATTGCTTCATACATTTCTCTCTTGCAGCTCTTAGCGGCAGCAGCCTGAATATTTAAAATAGCAGGTGGAGAAGACACCCTTGCATGACCAGGTAATCCATCATAGACCCTCACACACCACTACCAGGAAGCACAGGGAATCCAAAAGCCTCGAAACAGGAGCCAGACACACAGAGCTTGTCCTCAAACAGCCCCTAGCAGCAGCAAAGTGGAACGTCATGGGCTGGCTTGACAGGACAGAGCCCCTAAACACTCTTCCTTGACCTTTCTGTTTTTCCCCCCCAGTCAAATTGATATAATGAACGAAACCTGACCATCAAAGTCATACTGAGCATTGATTTTTGTGGGCCGTACACACAGCTAATGATGAGTCTATTAGCTTAGTCTGCCATGGTTGTTCTCACTGTATACCTCCACAGCAGAGAATCTCAAGGCAGGAATAACTACGGTCTACTGATTCATTAGGACTGGTGTCTTCATAAGGTATATCATTTGGATATAGGTCACACTTCTGCAGTCTGCATAGTGTACCTTACTGTGGTAGAGTCACCATGCTTAGCATCATAGCATTTAGTACAACATGGCTAAGCGTAACCTAGCTTATCAGTTAGCAAGCAAGTCAACAAATGCAGCAAAGTCAAAGGGCGCTTTTCCACCACACCAGGTACCGTACTTTCGGTACTTCCACAAAGTACCAAAATTATGGTACTTCTCTTGTGTTGGTTTTCCACTGGTGTAAAAACTGGTACTGGCGCCAAATGACATCATCAGTGACCGCCCCCAACATCATCACAAAGCGCGGCATTTCTTTTGCTGAATTCAAACATGGAAGACGTGCTGAGACTGGTGTTGTTGATTCTTATAATTAGAAGCTCGGTCAACCAGCTTTTTGAAGCACAACTCTGTGCCATCAGAAGGAGGAGAGCACGACTTGTTCGGTGTTTCGCGTGTGCCCTTCCATTTGACTTTAATATTTTTGTTTCTACTGCTTTATATTTCATTTCTCGCTGTTCGCTGTGTGTTTCAAAAGATGGCGGTTGCATTTTGTGTTTCAGCGGCAGGCTATTTGCATAACCAATCGACAGCAAATACGTTTGGAAGTCCCACCCCAAAGTACCAAAGAAGTACCCCAACTGGTTTGGCACTTTCGGTACTGGTACTTGACCGGTCAATGGAAAAGCTAAAGTACTGTACTTTGTGCAGTGGAAAAGCGCACAAAGGGACAACCAGAAGACAGCGTGGACTACGGGGAAGACTGAAGTCCTACATAAATTAACAGTCAGCGAGTAGTTGTGAAATGGGCCAAACTGAACTAAAACAACTGCATGTATCTATAACCAAAAGTTATTTGCATTTTAGGAGTTCTCTCTAAATAGAATAATCGATGGATTATAACAATCAGTTTTGTTTGCCATTCGATATGTTTTGACGGATCCCATTTCATTCTCTCAGCAAGCCAAATTTAGAGCCATCAGTAACATATCATGACACAACTGTTTTTATTTTGTGCATACCGGCAGGGCAGCATTTCACCACAGTCCACAAGGCAGAAAGTCACTGCATTTAATCCGAGTCGCCTGTCATACTTCCTTCTCCCTCTCTCCCATAAACACATCCATGCAAAACGAATGTGGAAACCTCAGCTGTCCCTAGTCCTCTATCCACAAAGCATGGGAGAAAGTCACTGCCCAACCCAGTCTGTGCATGCAGCAGAGGGCTGGACACTCCACAGCCCCTAACCGCGGGGCTGTCTGCAAGGGGACTGACAGAATCAGAGCAGGGCAGCCTGGACGCTTCACCGTCTGGGACAGTAATGTCCCTTTGCGGAGAAGACCGGATTAGCTGTGTCTGCTAGCAAGATTAGCTAAAGGCAGATGGTGAGGCCAGAATTAAACCTTCCCCCATGACCCTTCCCAAGCAGCCATCCAAGTAGGGATGTTAGACAGTCCGAATGCCCCGACCCATCATCATGCTGGGATTTAAACCGGACGTGTCTTCCTATACTCCCCTCAAAGTGTTCAAAGTGCCCATGGGCTTTTAATGGGACTTGCCAGCTCATATATCCGGGGGCTGCCTCCCACGGTGAACCGGTGTCACCTCCGAATAACGATTTGTCAGATCACAGCAGGGCCTGAAAGCTACCTGGCTGGGGTCTTTTCAAGCAGGAGGCTGACCGCGTCACCTATGAGCGTCGGCTGTTAGCCCGCGTGGTGCCCAGACAGCCAGCGCCACCCGCAGCCGGAGTTAATTGGCAAAGAGGGGCGGAAATGACCGAAACGCAAGATTAAAGACAGAAATCCTTAAGGAATCCTTAACGAAGCCTCCACAGCGGGTGATGCTAATGAGGGTGTGTGGGGCTCAGACAGGCAGGCCCTGGGTCAGCCCCTCGCATGGATCTCACCTTG